ACAATATATCTTATTTTTAAATTGCATACCGCTCGCTACGCGGTTTTCTTAGTGCGAGTAGACGGCCTCATGCCAGCAACAGTGGAATTCGCTCGCCGAAGCCGTCACGGGAATGAGGTTTGCCTGCGCTAGCGACTGATCGCGCGAAGACGATCTACGTCGCGTCGCTCGTCGCTGTCGCGTGCATTTTCGCACTTATGAGGTTTGGCCCATACTCGCAGGCATGCGCCGCGCTGCGTTGCTTTGACGCATGCACGTCTCAGCGCTTCCGGCGTCCCTCGGTCACAAAGAAAAGGAGACGCATTTTGCCTGGGTAATGCATCGGTGCGAAATGGAGCATGTCGCATTTCGCACCGGTTGCCGTCGGGCCGCGCCGATGGACGCTGGTGGCGCCTGGCGTCAGACTATAGAGAGCTCACGTTGTGCTAACGTAGCGTCACTGTGCCCAGCGTGCGCGCGCGTCAACGCTACATTCGAGTATACTGGGCCCTTCATGATGCGCTCGCGGCCGTTTTGTTAGCTCAACATATACCAAATTTGGTGTTACGTGACGTCCATGGATGACGAAATATATGACTGGTGCAAACATGATAATCCTGACACGCGTGTCATGTAAGAACATGACAACATACCACGCTCATAGCGTGCTCGCAGCCGTTTCGCTAGCTCCACATACACTATATTTGGTATCACGTGACGTGAATAGATGACGAAGGTAAACGACGCATTCAAACATGAAAATCATGACACGGAAGTCATCTACGGCATCATTTACTTCCACCTCGTAACTTCGTGCTGATCTTAAAGTGACACATCACCATTTCTCATTCGTGCTTCTCATATCATCGATTTACACTGTACGTGGGATCTGTCAATGTTTTGTAAGCTTGATCCACCCGTCTACCGACCTTAATGTGCCCCTCGTGAAGTGCCAGCTCAAATCTTCTCGATTACACTACACGAATATGCCCTGAGCAGCACTTTCTAAGGGTTGATTGCCATTCAATTTCGCGCTTTGCGTGTAGATACAATACCTGAAAAGTATTTCAATGGATATTGAAATTTTAAGAAATGAACTACTGTGATAGCTAACGCAAATCATATAATGACAAAACCTAAACAGGGTATTAGACAAGCATATGAAGTTGAAGTGCGTTAGATACGATGTTTTGCACATTGCGCTCAAATCACAGTGCATACTTTACGAATTGTGGTTGCGCAGCTTATTAACATCAAAACCCAGCCAATTCTACAAAGGCGTTGCAGATTATCCGCCTTGCGCCCATTCTTTACTATACTCGGAGGAGTTTCCTTTCCGGTTACGACCTTTCCTTAGCCACGGCGCCCGCATGCGTGGAAGTCTTCGCTCGTTCCTAACGCGAGCTTCACTACAACCGCATGACTTCACTATTAAACCCACGCGTTCTTCAACGGCTCCTGTTTCTGTCACATCCGGTTTATGTGTTAGCTATCAAGTCGACTGCATGAAGAACAAGTGAGTTTTCGCTGTTCATGTGCACTCAGTTTCTTGCGCAAAAATAATCGATTGTCATTATAACCGCTACCACCGCCATCATCAGCAGCACCATCATGTGTCTCATGTCCAGCGCAAGTTCGGGCCTCTCTCACAATCATCAGTCACCACTGCTTCAATTTAGCCGTGTCCTACAGGCACCTACAAGTTTTGCAATGTTATCACGTGATCTATTGCCATCTTCAAGAGGCTTTCCTTGCCTTCTCGACTTTTCTGTTTCATCTTACTAATCATCCGAGTTCCGCGCTGAGAGACCTGACCGAGAACGCTTCTTTTTCAATCTTACCTAGAACAGAATGTTAAGAATACGCGCTTGCCTGTCTTCAAAGCATTTGATTACATGCTACTAAAATATGCCCCGTCAATATCGACAAGTAATTATTTATCTAGGAATGTAAAACACCGCTGGTGGTTGTGACAAGTCAAATGTAGAAAAAAGACTTCTAGAACATTAGCTTCAGTTTTTCGGCGGCATACTAGAAATTATTGTATCCGACTGCTGATTCGAAGGTCACTGGATTGAAGCCTGGCCGTGGTGGCCGCATTTTGACAAGGCCGGTATGCTAAAGGCTCGAATGCCTATATTGAGGTGCGTTAAAAAAAATGGCAGCATATCCACGGAGTGAATGATGGAGAGTGGGGCGAAGCATTCATCCGTCCATACGTTGTTGCTTCCGTCCTTCCATGCGTCCGTCTGTGTGATCGTCCATGCGTCCATCCGCCTGTCCGTGTGTGCGTCTGTCCGTGCGCCCGTCCCTGCGTTCGTCTTTGCATCCGCGCCTGCGTCCGTTCAAGCGTCCATCCATGCATCTGTCTGTGTGTCCATTCGTCCATCTATTCAACACTCCAAGTACCACCATCTCGCATCTTTTCGTCATGTATTCTCCATATATAAGCACCGCCATACAGCGGACATTCCAAGGACTAAACGAGAGGTGGCACACGCACATTTTCTTACGGCTTGCGCTTCGGATCTACTTCCCACCTTTAACCACGTCGAGTTCATGGTATATACTAGTTCATTGTATTCATGGCACTGCGGCTCAGCGCTCGCTAAACCTTTCTAAAATTAAGGAGGTTACACCCAGCGAGTATAACGTAGCAACCCTTTCTTGTCAGATAGTGCTCAATGTACATGCCAATGGCAGCTAATGGTGATCTCAGAGTGCGCGTTAACTAAAAGCCGAATGCTTTTGTCTCTCATTCTTCATTAGCAGCCATTGACATGTACATTGAGCACTATTTTTCATTGTTCAACGAAGCACAGAAGCAATCTCTCACCGGCACCACCTTCGAAGTCAAAATGTTATACTTGTTACACACTACAACAGCTACGAGGGACGAACAGGTGCCGTTATAAGGAGCTTCAACCCTAAAAAGGCAAGTTGTGACCAAGGTTGCATGCGTCTTAGCAAGTCAATAATTAAAACAACAAAAATTATCCCTCACTGTTCCAACGTATTGTTCTTTTGCTCCCTTCCCGTGAGTGCTGATCAATCCAAAAAAAGGTTCCAATAATATTCGGCACTTTAAGTACGCGGTACTAGATTCTAGCACTGAATCAAACAGAATGATATTCGGTTCGTCATTCGAAGTTTTACAATATTCGCCCACCCTTATACAAGGCCAGTTGTCGAAACGTAAACTCCAGCGACACCACGTCTTCCGAGGGTTTTACATTGCTTCAACATTCGATCTTCTCCTAGACATTGCTGTGATTTCTAGGTCTATATATTAAATGCTCATTTTGATGCAGCATGCCTGTAGCCTAATAACTGATTTTATCATTACATGTATGACACTCGTAGGTTGCGTCATCGGAATCGGTTGAGTTGAGTTTATCTATATTCATCTACAATGCACTTATAATGTGACCCACGAAAAGAATAATTTAAGCTTCCTTTATTTTTATTAATTTATTTAACAGCGCAAGTTTTCAAACATGAAGGCTGTGTGTTCCATGAACCGTACAGCTGTTTATTAGGTCGAGAAAAATATCAATAAATTTTTATGTCATTGCACTGATATTAAAACTGCGCTCACATTTTATATCAGTGGATATAGGTACCGTAATTGAACAAGTTGTACATAATGTAACATAACTGAGAAGTTCACAATGAGAAAAAGGAATACCAAATGAACCCTCTTCTTCCTTCTTGCGTCCTTGTCTTTCGTGCGACCTGCTCGAACACGAATTCATGCAAACTAGCTCAAACTTCACTTGTTGTAATAGAAGCAAAAATCTTTAATGATACCTCCAGACACGTAAAATATCTGGTTTATCGCCTCACTTGTTATTCCAGGTCTTCGGTAGTGACTCTTTAGATGCGAACGCATGTCTTCTTCAGGTGTGTACCCCTTGAAAACACCAGCAACGTTTTTGTGCTGCGTATCGCAAAAGGCTGCTTTGCCATGGGTTATAAAGGTGCCACTTATGTGTAAGCTCAGGCCGTATAGCAAGTGTAGTGCTGCTTTGGGGTTCACCAAGGGGAGTTGGGCTGATTAATATTCTGCGCGATGTAATTTTGGTGGGCAACGTCGAGTCCGATCCGGTGAAGGCATGTATCATCTTGCCTGCTAATCCTCGTGCCACATAAAACCTTCATGGCGGGCTTCTTCAGGGCAGTGATCCGTAGTCAATATTGTCGAAGGGAACTCGATAGTAAACTGTCGTGCGAAGAACAGTAACTAGTAAAGCAAAAAGTGCGAAGTAAATGATTAGTCGGATGCTACATGCTCACATTGGAGTATATGCAAGAGACCGCCGTCAATCTGCAGTCGCTTGACAGTCCACTTGCCATCGGAATTAATAAACCGTGGCCGTTTGTGCCGAAACCATGGTATGACTATGAAGAGTGCCGCAGTGGGAAACACTATAACCAATTTTTGCCACTTAATAGTTCACATAATTGCACATAATTGCACGTGCACATAATTTCGTTCACATTTCATCCACATCGAAATATGGCCTCCGAGGAAGGATTCAAACCCGCATTCGCGTGTTTAGCAGCTCGACAACCTATACTCATTAAGCTACCGTTGTGGGTCTCCTGGAAACCGGTACGTTTCCCGATATCTATGTACATGAAAGTGTGATAATAAATACATCACGTAAATGTTGAAACTTCTTTTTCTAAACACGTTTTACCACACATTTCCAGAGCCCATATATAGCGCCAACGCATCTGTCAACGCGATGCGGGGACTTAAGATTACAGACAAGCAAAGTGAAAGACGCCGTTTCCCTTTAACTACGAAGTTTTGACAGAACATCTTGAGTAAGGTAACAAAAATTACATTCACTTCATTCACATACCTAATTACGTTACGCACAGATATGCAAATTCGGCACGTGAAAATCAAAGATGAATATTACCTTCGTATTCAGACTTGCAAACCTTTCTTCAAGCAAAGTTGAAAATCTCTGGCCGCACAGGTGGCCGAGTGACGAACAACGATGTCTCACCTTTCTTTTTTTTTTTCCGAAAACGACGTAAAACTTCAGCGGCGGCTTCTGTCAGCGTCGCGAAACGAAAACAAAAGAAAGACGCACGCGATCTTTCGCTTCGTAGCTCCTCAGCTGTCTCGAATATGTAAGAATACAAAAAAAAAGGAATTATTCCGGCTTATAAAACTCTTCCTCCTCCTCGTCCACGTTGCGCGGGCGAGTCGCGGCGATAGTCTCTGACCACATCACAATTGTTTATCGGCACCACACGGGGCGATCCCGTCGAAGCGTACGTGAACCGCATGCATTAGTGCTTCACGCGCCTGGTTTGGGATTCTTTCTTATATGACGACGCGTCGTCGTGTGGTCTTCAGCTGGTGCTCCTCGCCGCGTGGCTCGGCCAAGGTCTTCGCTATCGCGCGACGCGTGATCCCTCTCCGATGCGTCGAACGTACGTGGTCCGCCTTCTTAAGATTAGAGGACGCCTCTTGGCGACGGGGTAGTGCATTACGCTGCTTCCACGCGGGGATGTGTGTATATGTTCCGCAACCATTTCCAACGACGCCAAGTTTCTTGTGTCGTGCTTACCTTTGATATCGTTGTCCTGAAGAAAAGAAAAAAAAAGAAAAAAGAACAGGGGCGATATCTCGTGGTGCTTCTTGGCGGTTCTCCGGAGGTGCAACAATGTTCTGGGTCATTGGCCCTCGGCAACGTTCGTCGCTAACAGCAACCAAACCACCTACTCTAACGCTTACTCAACGTCCCTGAACCTGTCCCTGAATAACAAATGTCCTAACCGCGTGGTTTAGTGTACTCAATAGCTGCGATGCGGTAAGCCATCCGAAACGAATCGCGCGCCCTGTAGGTTGGACGTCGTCGTATTAAAACCTAATCAGCTTCCTTAGCATTCGGCCGCTGCAGCCGAACGTTCTTCTTAATGCTGCGTTGCGCCGTATCTACAACTGGGCCGCAGCGATGAGAAATTATTTTAGAAACAGGCAGGAAATAGTTTTAGAAGCCATATATGGCCAGTGATATACCTTGGGAGAGAGAACATTCTGGCGTATTAAAAATATATATAAGCCTTTTCTTTAGTGAATTCTTGTAGAGTGTGATCTCGCACTCTTCTTTTTTTTTTTTTGCTTTGTTTTTCACAATGTTGGCATCAGCCTACGTGTCATTGGTCGATGCAACACAGGAAAGAGGTAGCAAACATGATGATGGTGATGATGATACTTGGGTGATTGGCACCTACCCACTCAGGGAAATCGGCCAAGAGTCGGGCAATGTATACAGACAGGATTTGTTATTATTATATTTATGAGCTAATAGAGTTTACAGAGGCCTTTGTAATGAAGTGTTAACTTTGATGGATCCTTCTTTTTCCTTACACTATTTATCGAAACCTCTCAATTACCAAAATCCTTTTTACTAGGGTGACACGGCATAGAATTACCAGCGGTTGATTCAAATAGTAAATGCATTTTAGTCACATGCGAAGTTTTTGACAGCTATGAATATATTCCCATCCGGATAACTCAGCGCGCAGGCCCCAAAAGATAACAGAACAGTCGGCTTAACTGGTTGACCAAGTTGCATGAATATAATTTCGATGGTACGTTTTGTGTGCGAGAAAAAACGTCGTCAGCTTAGCAGAAAGTGTTCGATAGTTTCGGTCTCGTAGCAACAGAAGGCCGACCATCAAAGCATCTGTTTGACTACCCTTTGCTGGGGGAATGGGAAAATGTATAATAAAAAAAAACCTTGTTGAAGTTTGCACTAAGCCGCAAAAGGCTTGAAACAGCGAAACTGCACGACTATAAAGACCAATCTCGTTGCTTCTGTGCTGTTGCTGGGCTTCCGGTATAGGTGATGGGATGTTGTTTCCACGTGCATTGTCAGCGCAGAAAGATTCTATATGTAGTTAAAACACAGACAGACACGACACGGATGTTCATGACTACAGAGCCCGAAACTAGTGCTGAAACCAAGCGTTCATACTTCCCAAAGATCTCCGGGCACGTTGTATTTGGCGCAGGCCCTCCATCGCTTCGAGGCCTTCTCACAGCCGGCATTGCCTTTCCCGTCCACAGGTATTCTCTAATTGTGCACGCAATCGAGGTCTTCCGCTTGCCTCTATCTCTTCGAAGCTATGTGTTCGCCTAAATGTTCGCCTTCTTCATTTTGATTTGACAAGTGATGAGCATGTGAGATTTACCCAACTTATGCGGCACATACCCGTTGGCGATGTTCATTGGTTCAACGGACAAGAAGCGATTTACGAGAAAGGATGGCGGTAACGCGCTAAACAAGCAGAGAGAGAGAAAGAGAGAAGACTTTAGTCACAGGATTCTGTGTGGGGTAGGTGCCGGCCGCGCTGGCCGCGGTCTACCCTTCTAATGTTCTAGTCTATGCAGCCCTAAAAACACTGGGCCAAGAACTCGAGGGTTGAACCTGACCCGACAGAGGATACTTGAGTTCCCAAGCGGCGAACTTGCTTAGGCGTGCAGGAAGGAGTGCAGCAACGAGGTCAGATGATTTTTGCGCAAGTGCATTGTCCTCCAAAAACACCGACGCACTTGCCTCGGGGACCGACGAGGAACCGGAGACGGAGTTCGAGCAAAACGCGCACAGAAAGTGGCCGATAGTCCATTTCTTGCTGCACGTTAGAAAATGCTTGTCTTTCAGGGCCAGATCGAGGACAGTGGCTCAAGAAGTAGCCGACGTTTCCCTCCGTACCACGCATATCACAGGCATGCCGCACTGTCTATCATTCTAATGGACGCTATTAATTTGGTTTATTTGGCTTATTCGAGGCGTTAAACATTACTTTCGAGGACACGACTAAAGGCTGAGTAATTTCTTGACTAGGTCGTGTTATCCTGGCTTCAAAGCAGAAGAAACGCACCGGCAAGCATTCTTAGCACAGAACTCTATAGTAACACACTGTTCTACGCGGGTTTATTTATTTATTAAATGCGAAGCATTTCTCAGCGAACTTTGGCGACATTGAGCGTATCTATCTATCTATCTAGCCACCTACGCCTTTTAGCTCTCCTGGCTTTTTGAAGAATGGTATCGATACCAAACTTGGTATGGCATAACATGACTGTAATAAAAACGTATTTGACTAGTCATAGCATGAAAATCATGACACATATGCCAAGAATTTCATGATTTACATTTCACAGTCTTGCACCTCTTGCGGTTGTTTCGTTCACATGGCATGTTGCAAAACTGGTATGGTATGGCATGATTGCATGGCGAACACAAGCGACATACCCTATCATGAAAATCATGACATGCGTGTCATGTAACAACATGACTACATGCCACGCTCATTGTTCGCTCACAGCCGTTTCGTTAGCGTCCCATATACCGAATTTGGTATAACAGTTCGTGAATGGATGACGAAGGTATGCGACTGGTGCAAACATGATAATCATGACATGCGTGTCACGTAACAACATTGCTACATGCTACGCTCATGATGCGCTCGCAGCCGTTTCGCTAGCTTCCCTTGTACCAATTTCGGTATTACGAGATGTGAATGGATGACGAAGGTATGATACTGGTGCAAACATGATAAACATGTAATGCGTGTCATGTAACAACATTGCTACATGCTACGCTCATGATGCGCTCGCGGCCGTTTCGCTAGCCTCACATGTACACACTCGGTATTACGCGACGTGAACGGACGACATAGGTTAATGACACATCCAAACATGATAATAGAGAGTTTTAGTACTGCGTACGTTGCGAACGTGGCGGCGTTGCGTACGTAAGGACGCCACGTTCTGCGTAGTGCGCATGCGCAGGCCGCAACGCGCACGTATCGCGTTACGTACGCAGCCACTACGTACGCACTCATGGGATGCGTGCGTGCGTACGTATGAGGTGATCGCGCCGCTCTCGAACAAGTTCGCGACAGCGCGAGACTTCGTTTTGCAAAATGGCGGCATCGAAGGCAAGCACCGACCGGCTCTGTGGCTCAAAATATGGCCATAATCTGGCTATAACACTTTGATTGGCTCACATTGGCTGTCAACAACACGTGCTTCTATTTTGATATACCAGATGGCGCAACACGCTTCACGCTCGTTACGTACGCGGGTACTACGGCGTACTAAAAGCCGATTAGTGGCAAACGACGCCACGTAACGCAAGGCGCTTGCGTGATGCGTACGTAGCACCATTCCGCAGTACTAAAACTCTCTAATCATGACATGCGTGTCATGTAACAATATGACTACATGTCACACTGATGATGCGCTCGTAGCCGTTTCGCTAGCCTTACATATGCCAAATTTGGTATTACAGTACGTGAATGAATGATGAAGGTATGATACTGGGGCAAACATGATAAGCGTGAGATGCGTGTCAATGAGAACATGACTGTATGCCACAGTCAAGGCGCCAATACATTTCGACGTCATACGGTGCGCGTGCTCACCGGCGTTCATTTCATCTCGTCACGCCAGCGTTGCCACGCCAGGCGCCCGTCCTGCCATATACTCGCAGGCGTGTGCCGCGCTGCGTTGCTTTGACGCATGTGCGTCTCAGCGCGTCCGGCGTCCCTCCGTCACGAAATAAGGGAGATGCATTGTTGCCTGGGTAACGAACGCATTGGTGTGAAATGCGGCATGTCGCATTTCGCGCCGGTTGCCATCGGGCCGCGCCGACAGACACTGGTCCCACCTGGCGTCAGACTATAGAGTGCTCACGTTTTGCTAACGTAGCGTCGCTGTGCCCAGCGAGCACGCACGTCAACGTTACGTTGGAGTTTGTTGGACCCTTCATCATGCGCTCGCGGCCGTTTTGCTAGCTTCACATATACCAAATTTAGTGTTACGTGACATAATGATGACGAAATATATGACTGGTGCAAACATGAAAACGCTGAGACGCGTGTCATGTTAGAACATGACAACATACCACGCTCATAACATGCTCGCGGCTGTTTCGCTAGCTCCACATATACTAAATTTGGTATCACGTGACGTGAATTGATGAAGAAGGTAAACGAAACATCCAAACATGATAATCATGACACGGAAGTCATGTACGGCATCATTTACCTCCATCTCGTAACGTTGTGTTGATTTTAAAGTGACATATCAACATTTCTCATTCGTGCTTCGCATATCATTGATTCCCACTGTACGTGAGGTCTGCCATTTATTTATTTATTTAGCCCTACTGTCAACTATCATTTGAGAGTCCTTACAGCGAGGGTAACATAACATAATAATAAAGTAAAACAAACATTTATTAGCAATTACACAAATGCAGATTAGATCAAGATAAAATGCTACACGCTAGACTTGTACTGATAGTCATCCAATGTCTG